TCTCGTAATTGCGTTCAAATTTACGTTGTGTTCGCACGATTGAATTAGCACTTAAATTATAATTACTCATAGTGCTTGTTGCCAATTCATTCAATCAGAATGTTTGTACGAAATGGTCTCCGCACATACGTACATATGTATTACAAATTCATACTACAGGTTCATTTGTAGGTGAATTTCCTACAAGCATTTGTTTAAGGGGGTATTGTAGTCAAGAGGTCCGAATTTAGAGCGGGCCATTAAAAAATGTAGTTTCGAGAAAAACATGTAATGATTATCTGCGGGTGGGTCCACATTTTAAAACTTTTTACGCCACTGATGCTCATTCATACTCCGATGTTCCGTAGTAAATTACAATTCTGTATCTTGGTCAGGTTAGGTTATGTTATGAGGTCAATCCTAATAAGAAATCGCACTTGGACAGCTTAGAACGCCTGTCCGTGGTGTTGCCGAAATATTCTACATAACATGTCATAGGACCGTTACAATTTGACAATGCACTTAGAACGTATGAAAAATTTGTGGAGACTGCTAATGTCACTTTCGGCTATGTCTCCAGGTTCGCCGACGGTAAAATTACCGAGATGCTTCAACATCAGTCCTCCAAAGCTGGACAACGGAGATGAAGACGTAAATAAAGCTCATCCATAAAACTTGCGTTCGTCAAGATTTTTAGCCTTACCACATCAATGCCTATTGGATTCCTATGATTTCAGCAGGATGAACTTAAATTTTAGACTTGGTTATGTCAGTTTATAGGCTCAAGATTCACGGAATTTATGCTATATAACTAATTTGATTTCTACGTCACAAGTCACCAGCAAATATTATAAAAGCATTATAGGCTATGAATATTAATACTGTATGAAAACGACGAGAAAATTTTTCTCATTACTATTAATGAGTCATTGATACTAATGACTATTGACTCATCCGCTCTCGTCTGTCATTTGGTCCGGTAGCTTACGCATATGACTTAATTTTGTTGTTAGAATGAATAGTGATTTACCGATCTCATTTAGTAGAAAATAAGAATTTCGTATAATATTGTGCTATAATTGCTACAACTAATTAATAACGGCATACGGCAGAAATATTGTGCTGAAGATAAGAAGGGAACAGGATGACAACGATCCAATTGCGTGAGCAAAGTCATACAAATAAGTTTCACACAGATGGATAACGTGTTAAACGACATCAAGGAAGATGAACTGCTTGTTCGCGATTCAAAAAAGGTTCCACTTGTCACCGCCAAGAGAAAAGCAATAGATTTTTGGGTACAATTAAATATCATTAACCATAGCAACTATTAACAGGTAATTTTGAGAGGCAGAACTGTTCGGAAGGATTTCCAGAAAGAAACCGCTGCTCTGTTATAGAAGAAGACTAAATCATTTGGAGATCGCTTTAAAATTCCGCCAACGACAACAAGTGGTTGAAAAAAGGCACTGTTTACTGATGAAACAATACAATATTTATCTTTGTGTATCTGTTCTGATGTGATAAGCTATGTTAGGCGTTCAAAACGAAAATAGTTGCATCCAGGTGCATTGGAGCATGGAGGCAGTAATGTAATGCTTTGAGGTGCAATGTCATGGCACGACATTGAGTCTATATGTAAAACTGATAGACAAATGGACCAATTTAAGTACATACTAATTATGAACGCCATCATGCTGCAATTTGCCAACGCTAACATGCCTGTAGCATGGACGTATTACATGGGATAACGATCTGAAACATACAGTTGGACACACTTAACAGTGGTTTCATGACAATTTGGTGACTGCTTTTAACTGTTCTTGTTTAGTCAAGACCCAAAGCATATCAAGAAACTTTGGAGTCACGTGAAAATGGGAAATGCAACACAAAGTAAAATAATTCGACAAATTATATGAAAGGACAATCGGTTGCACAGAACATCTAATTAATAAAAATTAGTAAAGTAAATGCCACGTAAGCAGTAAACGCCGGTATTGCTTTGCCTTTTAATTGTCTTTTTTAAAAACTTTTAAACCGTGTGTAATTACTTACTTACTATTTATTATTATTCTTTTATTCCTCTAGTATTTACAGAACTGTTTTTCGAGATTCGCAAATAGCTTTTATTGTTTTAAATATACCCATACAGGATTTATCCGGAAAGTAATAGGACAGAGTCGATTTAAACAAATTTATTGAACCAATCGTTACAATTCTTTCAAAATAGGTTTCTTCTGCGTCGCTGTAGCGCTGAAAGCGCGATTTCCATGTTTACAAGAAAGGCGATGTGAACCGGGGCCTTATCGTGAGCAACTTCCAATCGGCTGCGATGGGTTGTCGGACACGATTACACCTTCGTTTGAGTCTCATGAAGACTTATACGTAAACGTTGATGACAAAAAAGACAATGAGTATCGTTTTCACTTTGGATTTGCTCATTGTTCCCTTTTTTGGGCGAGGAGACGCCGGCCCCCTAAACAGACCTGGTGCCACCGAAACACTCTACTTCTTGCTAAAGCAACATCTGGGTAAGCCTGCTCTAACGAACGCTGCATTTTCGGCTTGCAGCACTCACAGAAACACGTCGGTGCTCGGAGACAACTGACCAGCCACTCGTTCGTTAGCTAGGGAAGCCCTCTACCGAATTCAGTCGGTGCGCGCAAGCTTTGAAGTACAGTCCCGGCGGAAGAAAATCAGTCCTATTACCTTCCGGACAAACCCTTCACCTTACTTGTAAGTAAGGCTCATTTTCAGATATAAAAATCAGCATACTATTGCTTGACCTTACAACGTTGCAATATTGTAAAATTATCCTAAATACACTAGCGCTTACATATTTCAAAAATGCTTAATTAAATAGTTTAAACGACACCGTTAAACCTAATTAAGAACGATGGGTTCTTTTGCATACATTTAGTTATGTAAACTAGTACAGTATAAGTATGTTTTGTATGTTTTTCATATAATTAAGAAGAAATATCTTATCTCATAAATTTCGTTGTTGTTTTGTTGGTTGTATCTTTTTGATGATTACATCTGAATGCACATTCCTTCGGTTGCCAGTTCAAGAAACAGGTTGTAAAATATAATAAGTACGAAGAACAGCTGCTTAAGACCGGTTTGCTGTGCTTGAAGATTCTGTACGGAAATATGACACTGGCGGCGGCATTAAAGCATTGCTTGTTGCACATGCAATCAACTATTAACATGCAACGTCCATGCATCGCTGCAATCCACGTTCTTTTACTTAGCTGTTTACCAGATACCGGTTGTACCTCTGTCATTAAAAAAAATTCTGCACAAATAATAATTAAGATTGACAACCCAACTACGAGAAAATTGCATATTAAAGTGCGCTGCAACCAGTGTTGCCACTCACAGCTAACCTTGGGAGAATCACTAGCAGTTACTCTACTTGCATTGGAAACAGTTAGAAATATACGAATATGCAATAGGTAAATACATACATATACATATATGTATAAATAAAGTACCAGGTGGAGATTGTTTTTTGGTATTTGTTTGTTGTTGTATTTTAACATGACACAGTTTGTGAAGAATTTTATTAAGAAGCTCCGACTTTTAATTTAAAAAATGGATATTAAGTAAATTTGCAAAAAAATAACAGTTTCTCGCTTAACTTTATATCGGAGTTCAAAGTCAAAGATTTATGACTAGTTTCACAGATGAGGGAATGATCTTCAAATCACGTATGATTTTGAAAAGGAGATACCTACATCTTAGACCGTCTCATATTAGATCCAACCCTACGGTGAAATATGCAGGTGGAATTAACGCTGTCCAGAGCCACCAGGCACTCATGATATGCAGATGTCTAGCCCACAGCTCCTGGGACAGCAGTCCAATTATCATCAGATGGCGGCATACCACGATCGAAAGGCTTACTGTCACGTATGTAGAGGAGTTTGCAACCGTGTACTCCTGATATGTATGCTCTGGCATAAAGTTCTAACTGGGAGATTACAACCTAGCAAGGTTTACAGATATGTACGATCAAGCTACCAGGAGACGAATTCCTTATCCAACAAGGCTACGCGTTCTATACAGAGCACTGCAGGCTCAAGAAACACTTGCCTAACATAGGCATAATCTATTGCGCAAATTGTTGGTTTTACGACATGGAACAGGAAACTTCAGAACATCTGATTTTAGACTGCCCACCAATGTGTAGAAGCAGGCTCATGGCTCTTGGATCTATCTAGGTGGACAGGTATCACTTCACCTCAGTGCTGGATCTTTGTGATCATATGTAAGTGATAAAGGAGAGGACACAACAGACCACAGGTAGCATTGCAAAATCTCAATTATTTTCCATATACATATATAGACCGACTATCTCAATGAAATGAACCAGTCTTTCATTTTGTGAGATATCACGCTGAAATTTTGTGTACACCCTTTTCTCCCAATGTCGGGACTGCTATAAAGTTGTCATACGAACTGAACGAAAAATATATATGAAAATGTAGTTTTTTAGTTGACGAGATATCTTCACAAAGTTTGGAAAGGATTATTGTCCAAAGCAACCCTAAAATAATTGAGAAATTTTCCAGGTCGGATCACTATTGCATACAGCTGCCATATAAACTAAAAGACTAATTCTACTTGCTAATTGCTAAGTGGCAATATATGTTCATATGTACATATATACAGATATATATATATAAATACCGAGTATATCGTCAATTGCTTCCTTTAACAATTGTGTTAGTTGCCATAACTCAAAAATTTATGCACTGAAGCCTAAAAAGGTTGCCATACAATCCGAAATTCTCCTAGTTTCTTCAACATACCTAACAAACCGACATATATATGTATATACATACATGCGTAGGTCACATAAGTAATGATGGGGATAAAATTTAGACACCATAAAGATAAATATTCTCAGATACAAAGGCAAGAATGAGCGTGAAAACACTTATGAGCTGCGTGTGTAAGACCCATTATAGTTGAATGGGTGTGTGAAATATATTTAAGTATATTGTTAAGCTCACCTGAAAATATGTTTGACCCTTGTCTACCCAACCGATGGCGATGTCAGAGCCAGCGAGGCTGCCGTCGGGCGAGAAACCAAATCCAACGTAACCCAGCGTACGTGCTTGTATTTCGAACGTAATATCCTGATTAATGATTGTCCATAAAATGCGAAAATCCTCATTCAAATCGACGGCATGATCCCAGCTCAAAGCGTTGCCTTCACCGTCGCCTCCAACCGTACCACTACTCAGAACACCCAAACGACTACCACCTTGACCGGCAATGGTGGTTGCACTGTCTTCGCTACCGTCGCCCACTGTGGCCACCTTAGCTGTCATTGCCGCTGCTGCTGCTGCTGCTGCTGCTGCTGATGCTGTCGATGTTACCGACGCTGTCGCCGCAGCAATTGCTGTCGCCCCTACTGTTGGCGGACAAAGGCAACTCACAGCCACGATGAAACAGGATATAAAACATGTGATTAACGATGACAGCGATGAACTTGAATGTTTCACTTCCTCCTTCCGCACCGTCGCCTTGCGTGTTGTAGACATTGTCGTTGCCATTCCGTTCTAAATTAATGATATCGCGATGAGTGTGCTTGTCCTGTGAGCTTATGAGCGCATGTGTATGTTCGTATGTATTTCCTGCGAACCGCCTCCCGGCCGCTCGGGTGCGTGTTAATAGTTTTCAAAACGAATGCTAAAAAAATGCAAAGGAATGTGCGTAAGTGTTATGACCGACCACTTGGTATTTGGCTGCGTATGCCGAGTTTGGCAGTTCGTTTTTATAAATTACGCTTGGGTTGACCAACCTATTTCGTTTGTAGCTACCAGTCAGCGTTTTGTTGTCGATTGGCTACGTTCTTCACAGCACCTTGGCCGAAATAAATGTATGTCCTGCGAAACCCAAAACCATGCGGATTCAGTTGAACATATGCCCGTAGCGTGTGGACGACAAGTGCTTCAAAATAAAGTTGACGACAATTGGGCGCATGTCATTTATTGCTTTTAAATCCCGCTACGAATGGTTTTAAGACCGATGACTTGCCAAGTCTTTTAACGCTGACGTAGCACGACGCCAACTGCTGTGCTGTTGTTGTTTCCCCCCGAAATTACTTATTACGGCAATAGGCGATAGTTGGGCCGTTTTGCCGTATTAAAAACAATTTTCCCAGCCGGTGGCGCCACAAGAGAAAATCTACTGTGATGAGCCTTTTTTATGCGCTGCTGCCTCGTAACAAATGTTGCTTATGACCTAGTATAACAAACACACACACACATACACATGTATGTTCGAATATCATTTATATGAATAGGTAAGAGCGTATTTTACGGTTTTATGTACTACTTGCAATTTCACTTTATTTGGCCTTTGCTTTCCTTTGTTTATTCAGTTTTGCTTTCTTTCGTGATTTTGTGTGTGTTTTTCATTTTGATGTCTTGTTTTTTTTTTTTTTGGTGTATCACAGCTCTGATGTTATAAATAGCGTTAAAGTTTGTTGCAAGAATTACTATTTTGGTGGATTATTGGTCTACATGGCCATAAGAACGCGCAAGCAGACGGGTCGCTTCCTACGATGTCCTCTCGGTTTTATTATTTCGCTTTCTTTTTTATGCTGCTTTAGCAGCTAGAAGTGACAGGCGGCTTTATTTTAATCGGAATTTTATTGTATTTATCCTTGACTTGACATCGGAAGCAGAGACGTGCAGGCTTCAGTGCCAAGCTTCTTACTCCTATAAGGAAAGTTCACTGAGGTAAAGACGTGCGACAAATTTTCTAATTAAGTTTACTTTTGCTCTTCCGTTTACGTCGTCGGTTTTGTGCGTTTTAACGTCTTCGTGTTCTCACGCCGGCATTCACGTAATTTGTACGCGTTCTACCAGTTTCGGTGGCATCAACCTTTCAAGTTAAGTCGTATTCAAGGTGCGTGTACAATTGTGGCAATGCGATGTTGGATGTCTGAAAGGCAGAAAAGACAAGAAAATTACACATAATTAGTTTAATTTACTTTTGAAAATGTGTTTGATGTGTGTTTAGTTGTTAAATCGAGTATAATTGCATAAATGCACTGAAAAGACGGAATTCAACTGTCAGAAATGTAGCCGTGGAACAGCTCAACGTCTGTTTGCAGAAATTGGCGTGCGCTTGCTGAGAGACGCGGGGCGGATTAGGGATGTTTAATTCCGACAAATACTCGAAAGGGGGGCATGCGCTCATAGTAATACCATTTTGCTTGGTTGAAATTGAGGAATAAAAATTGCCATAGAAAGGTATTTCACCTTGTATGTGTATAGATAGAATCGAATAGATAGTTACTTTAGTTTCAAAGATCTTTATTTTGAGGTTGGCAAATTAGGTAGGCATGTCCTAAAAATTGAATATTAAGTTTGAACCCAGAAGGAAACGAGCTGAGTCAATTTAGCCATGTCCGTCTGTCTGCATATACACTAGTCAGTTTTGGAGATACCACCGTTAAATTTTGCTTATTGTCGAACCGCCGATATCAAATAACTACATTATATACTTAGCTGCAAACGTGCCCTAGTTCTTCTATGAAAAACTGATATATTTCACGAGATATTTTTAAGAAATTTGTTATGAAATGTTCCAGATCCGGCTACTATAGCATATAGCTCCCATTTTTGATCGGAATCAACTGCTTTTATAGAAAACTTTTTCATTTAAGGATATATTGCCCTGGGTTATTTTTTTAAGGGATTGGTGCCATATTTGAAAGAATTATTTAGATCGGACAAAACCAACAGATGTTCCATGCTAAGGTACTTTTTCCAATAGCCTACTTTTGACACATCTCGCAGAAGTCGTGTCAAATTATCATGTTTGGCATTTCATCCTGAAAAGCTTTACGCCTGAACAACGTTTACAACTCTCTTAACTTTTTTACGAAGATTCACATTCAGGAAATAAGGTGTTTCGTGCGCTACGCTCAACTTACGGCAATTCGCACCATCAACATCCATCTTGAGACCCAGCATTCATTATATGGATAATATTCGACAGAATAGACCACGTCCAGCACGTGTGTACAGTGAAGAAAATATACAAGCGTAGCTGAGAATGAACACGAAGACCGTGGAGAGTCGATTCGGCACCGTTCGCAGCAACTCGGACTAGCGCATTGAAACGACTTGGCGCATTTTATATTTAAAGATTCAAGAGCTGCCGTTTCATACCGTGGAATCATAGATCCATATTTCTTCAAAAATTGCAACCGTTATCGCGCTATGACAACCGACTATTTCAAATCTGAAATTGACACACATCGCATCAATCAATGGATTTATTGAGAAAACACTTCGGAGAGCAGATAATTTCACGTTATATGCCGGTCGATTGGCCACCAAGCTCGTATGATATCACACCGTTAGACATTTTCCAGTGGAGAAATGTAAAGTCTAAAGTCTATGCGGATAACCCCGCTTCTATTCAGAACTTGGAGCTAAACATCGCACATGTCATTCACCAGTTACCAGTCGAAATGCTTGAACGAGTCATTCAAAATTGGACTTAACGGACCATCTGGACTTAGATAATACAGAAAACTGTTTAACTCAATTTGTCGCCCTCGTGTCACTTGTATGAACACAATGAGCAATATCAAAAGAGTATCTGCCGATAATGCGCAACTGAAAAGTCCTCGTCTGAACGAGTCTAGCAGAACATCAAAAAATCTGGAAAAAATAATAAAATATTAAATAACTCAAACCTGCCAGTTATCGACTTTAACTTTGAATCGTAATCGTAAAATGTAACATTAAATTCTGCGTTACTTAAGTATCCTCATGGGGAGACATTAAACAAGAGCCTTGTGCGAATTTTCTCAATTATGAATAATCATGTGATAAAATTACCTTGAGTAACGGTAGAGTTTTGCGCAATAACACACTGGATGTACCAAAACTCATATCAATTCTGAACATTTCAGAGTGATGCAAATATATTCAATTAAAATATCAAAAGTGCTTAAAAGAGAAAAAGTGAAAACACTGCTAAATAATTCACCGATCTTCCATCTGCGCCAGAAGGGGACTTAGTCAATTTCAAATTTCGTCCTATGGCTATAGTATATACATATGTATATAATCTTAGTTATGTGTTTTAAAAACGTACTCTGTTATATGTAAGAACATAAAAGCACGAGAATAGCTGCTGGGAGCGTTATATTCAAAGTAACCTAAAGTTGCCCTTCGCTGAGTCATTGCATCTGAGTGAAACAAGTCTAATAAAATTACTTTGTGAATTAACTGCGCTTGGCAACGCTACAAAATGGAGAAAATGTAAAGGAAAATAGCTCCCGGATACATATTAACAGCTTACATCAATTTTCTAACGGCGCTTGTAGCTGCAGTGATGACGAAGATTACATAAACGAAGGATAGAAGTTGTAAGTACATAAAAGTAATAAGCACGAGGATTGCCCCACAATTACTTAGAAGAGAGATACATTTATACGACAACTGTATAGATGGAAAAGTCTAAATGATTCTGTGAAATGATTTGTAATCTTTTGAAAATTTGTTGGCACAAAACTACAGTACCATTTGGTCCGGTATCTGTAATATACAATTCCTACTAGAAAATATATATTTCTATGGAAAACATAATATATAACGGGGTTTTCAATAGGAACGCTACAAAAGTAGAGCGATAGCAACATCAAACGATGACATATTTTTTTCGCTCTTGTGACATTTCCCTTAAGTAAGGCTTATTCCATCATGGAAAGACATACGATACAACAACGAGTTGAAATTATTAAAATTTACTACCGAAATTCGCAGTAAAATGTTCCTGTGCCAATGAAACAAGGAAGTGCCAGTAGTATTGAGAATATTACTGTTGCTAGCGCATCAATTGCAGAAAACCCAAATCGAGTCACCATTTTATCCCGAAAAAATTACGGTTTGGTGCGGTTTGTGGGTCGACGGCGTCGCTGGACCGTACTTTATTGTGATTGGAAATCGCTACCGCTAGATGATATCCGCATATTTCTGGCCCGAATTGGATGAAATGTACATGGACAATATGTGGTTTCAACAGGACGGCGCCACAAGCCACACAGCGAATATCAATCGATTTATTGAAAAACAAGTTTGGTGGACGTGTTATATCACGTAATGGCCCTTTCATATTTTGACGCCGTTGGACTATTTTCTGTGAAGCTACGTCAATTCTATGGTTAAGCCAACAGTCCAGCGCCGATCGATGAATATCGAACGTGAAATACCAGTAGTATCGACCGATTTATGTTTGAAAACCGTCGAAAATTGGGTTCAGCGTCTAAACTTCTGCAAGCGTACCCGTGGTGGTCATGCAAATGAAATCGAGTTCCATACATAATGGCATCGAATGTACTTTCACAGGAGTAATAATAAAAATTTTGTAGCGCTCTTATTGAAAAACCCGTTATAATAACTGCTAGATACCACATAACAGCTAACACATAACAACACTTGCAACTGCAGCGGGAATTGAGTAAGTTTTCATTTAGAAATTCCATTATAGATAATATTATATTAAGTTGATATAATTTTCAAAATAAAGCGTTCTGTATTAAATTGGCGCCCGAACGCTTCTCTTTGTTTGTATGACAACCATATGCATACGATATTGGCGATTCCGACAAATGATTTGAAAAAAAACTAAGGGACAATTTGAAACATTTTCTGCCTCAAAAATATTCCAATTGCTGAGGACGCAGTGAAATAGATTATAGCTGGCTCAGTAATCAGTCGTTGAGTATGTATTATACCACGTGCATCCCAAAAGACTGATGTAATAACCTTTTCTCCCGACTTTGTCGTCTTTCAACGCCTCAGAACGGGTTCATCATGTGCAGTCCGCTAGAGTGACTGTCGATTGGACTCCAGTGGGAAATGTTGTTTCTTATGGATCGGTTTTATTATGATTAAAGAGTTGAGTGCACATCTCAGATTCAATTATTCGTTGCTTTTTTCTTAATTTTTCACATACATTTTGATCTTTTCATTATTTACTAATTTAACCCATAACTCTTTTTATAGTGTCATAATTTTAAAATTATTGATTTATTCTTTAAAATATAATATATTTGTTCTCCCTCAAAGTAATCTCATTTGGCCCCAATACACTTCCGCCAACGTTTTTTAAAATTCTCGAAACAGTAGTCCAAGTCAATTTCTGGAATAGCCTTCAATGCGCTTAGCAATTCACGTTTGACTTAAAAAGGCATCCCCGCAGCGCCCGTTTGAGTTTGATGAATAGCCAGAAGTCAGACGGAGCTAAATCAGGTCAATGTTGTGGTAAAATTGGCGAAAATCGAATGAAGAAAAAATGCAGTATGTGACGGTGCATTATCGTTACAAATTATCTTTACAAATAGCTTTACGCAATTAACGAATAATATTCAAATAAGATTCGTTGTTGACGGTACGAATTCCGCGTGCATTACACCTTGATAACTGAAGAAAACTGTTAACATAGCCTTGGTTTTGGTCTGTGAAACAATAAACGTTAATGTGACGCCGGATCTTTCAAAATGGTTTTCACTGATATCTCAAGGATGCCAGTAAGATTTTTGACTGTTAGTCGTCGATTCTCAAGTACCAATTTCTTTATTTTTGTGACGTGTTGTCATCTGCTGATTTTGATGTCCGTCATGAACGTGGTTCATCGTCAACGGGTTCTCGGCCTTCTTTGCATAATTTGTACCAATCAAGAGCACTTGCCCACAATTGGCTTTTTTTCAACATTCTGAACGTTTCGGCATCAGAAATTTGATTTTACACACAAACTTTAATGGAATTTAGTTGTAGAATTATTTCACTTATCGTAAACATCGGCGTATGCACTTTATGTACATCAGAAAGACAACCGTATATTAAACACTAATGATTACTTTGATGTGACATTTGACACAGATGTCATTGACAGTCATACCAACTTAAACAAAAAATATT